GAACTGTTACACAATAGAAGGGTTTGCCCCACACATTTCAAGAAAATACAGAGCTACTGTATGAAAAATGCCAGTCAAAGCTTTTATTTATTTTTTTATTTTTATTTCTGGGTCAAAACCCTATCTTTGTGTCACAGAATATGTGCAGTATATGCGCTTTTGTGTGTCTTATTGCTTGAAAGTATGTTACTATCTGATCAAGTGCTGCTTGCCAGCATCGTATTAGAGTAAGGGTTGCTGGATATCAGAAACCAAGTTTGAGATGGCCTTTAAAATACAGGACAAATGGTCTCTCTGTGCAATAACAATGGGTACATTTTGAGCCTACTGTTTAGAATAACATCAAGTTGGTCTCATCAAATATTTTTCTGCCCAAACAGTTTTTGATTAAATGAACTTTAAGAAATCAGTGCTTTCTCTGGTTTTTAATCAAAAAACCGCTCTCCCCAAAATGGAAGTTCTCAATGCTTGGATGAAAACTGAAGTGCTTAGAGTACTTAGCTGAAAGTGCAGTATTTCAGTTTGGGCCTCTCTGGGCCCAGCACCCAGCCAGACTACATCTTCAAGCCAGGGTCCCCCATGACCCTCCCCTGCATTGCCTCCCCTCACCGAGAAGGGAGACTGCAGTGCAACATGAAGATCCAGCTTGACCAGAGATCTTGGCCTATAGAGGATAGTGAGAGCATAAGGCCATAACTATAGGGTTGCCAGATGGTTGAAACAAAAATACCGACCCCCCCCCCCAAAAAAAACAGGAAAAAAATTCTGTTGAAGGGGAAAAAAGGGGGGTGGGGTGGGAGACCAAAGTTGTTAAGCAAAGAAAAAAAAATTAACATAAAACAGCATATCCCCTATAATAATGAGTGCAGGGATAGGAACAGGGAAAAGTTGAGAACTTAGACCCAGGGGAAGCATTGCTTCCCCTTAGGTATTTTGGCCGGCAGCCATTATGTGCCGGCAGCCTTGGGGAACCAGGTAAGCATGGGGGCTAGGGTTAGGGGGCTGGGCATGTTGGGGGCTAAGGAGGGCTACGCGGAGTTCGGGGGGGGGAGGAGGGAGGCAGGCACTGAGTGTTTGTAGGGTTGCCAGGTGCCCGGCATTTTCGCCTCCTGGCCGGGGAAAAATTCAGGAAATACCAGGCATCTCAGGTGTCCAGTAGTCTCTGAATTTTTTTACCGGACAGGAGCTGAAAATGCTGGACTGTCTGGGTGAATACCGGACACCTGGCAACCCTACAATAACTATAGCTTCTATAAGGAACTGAAGCAGCATATGTTTTTGACAAAGTATTTTGATTTTTCATCAAAAAGTCAAAATACTCCCTGGAAATAAATCCAATTTTCTGTCCAGCTCGAAAATAAAGCACTTCGCTTTGTTGTTTTTTTTCTTAAGGGCTGCAGAGAGCTTGCTGTTTTCAAGAAGGGGACTAAAGGAAAGCAAGAGGGGAATAAATAATTGAATCTTCATTTGTTTTCTTAGTCTTCCTAAATCTGCCTTTTGTGGACTATTTTGTTTCTTAAAAAATACTCTGCTTCTGTGAATGCAATGCTCTAGTGGGTAACCCAAAATTAAGTAGGTCAAAGGGAGGGAATTTTGAAAGGCACTGTCTGTTTGGTTTTTTTTAAAGGATTTTGTTTTGAAACTGATGCTTTGTTTGATTAAATATACAAGAGAGCTAAAGTCAGTAAGGTGGATTAGATTGTTTTCTGAAGCAATTTGCCCTTGTCTACTTAGACTGTACCGTGATATATGTATACATCTTGAAGGTCCTTTCATCCCTTCTTTCTTTGGGCAAACTGTCTGATAATCAACACCAAGAGCAGTTGATGAGTGTACAGAGGGTGTCTGAATGTCTAATTCCTTCCTGACAAATTAGCTATAAGTAATTTCCTTTTGGGTTTAGCAGGTGGGGCATGGATTGAAACTCATGCCAAGATCTGAATTGCAGTTTTTACTAAAGTGAGAATTTTGTGGGAAAAGGTCAGAAATTCTGCACCAAATAAGGAACTGGCCAACAGCCCAGTACTTATTACACTGTGTTTTGAGTATGACCATCCTCACATTACTGGTTAGAAGAATGAGATGTGAATTAAAATTATGTCATCAGTTTGCCCCACATCCATGCCATGTGTAATCCATGGCAATAACATTCAAAGTGTTAAATCCTGATTCATGTGCATTTCTCTCTAGAGAGTATAGAGATGTCCTTACCCATATGCAGAATATGCAGCTGTAGGGCACCTGAAAATTTGAGGCACCACTGGGTCTTAATGTCCACCGCTTCTTATCCCTGTTCCAACGCTTTACTTCCTGTGGAGAGGATCTAATTAACTTAAAAGTGAAAAAGCCTGTCCTAGCTATTAGCAGAACACTTAACCCATTCACAGGGTAATGAAGCCATTTAACAAGCATTTGCCAACCCAAAGCACAGACCCTCCATTTCTGAATTTACTTTGTTAGTCTACGGACCTGAGTTTAAAATTTGTTTTAAACCCATTTCATTAGTGAATTTCTAAAAGTTATAAGATCACCTCTCTAAAAAAATCACTCCACCCCCCAGCTGCCATCAGATATAGGGACACCAGTTTAATAGTATTGTGCAGCCATCAATCCTAAGGACGGCCCTGGGAAACAAACCTAGAAATTGGCACAGAGTGTACTTTTATCTCTGAATTCAATTATCCATAGACAAGCAGGATTTTCATTCTCACTTTACCATGCCCACATAGCTTTCCAGTTGGTCTGATTATAAGTGGACACAGTATGTGCTAATAAAGGACTTTATCTTCTTCTGTTGACTTATTTCTCTGAGGTGTATTATACAAGGCTGCTAAATAGGTAGGGGTCAATGGCCAAGTTCCCACTAACTTCAACAGAGCCAAGATTTCCTCCTGATCTTTTAAGATTGGGCATTTGAGCTGAGTGACAAACAGTTGCTTTTTGGCATTCACTACATTTTCTCTGTTATGTGGGATGCGTCTGCACAGCACACTTATTTCGAAATAACTAACGTTATTTCAAAATAACAATGCGAGTGTCTACACAGCAATTCCATTTCTTTGAAATAATTTCGAAATAACAGACAGTTTCTTCCGACTTCTGTAAACCTCATTCCACGAGGTATAACGCCTTTTTCCAAAATAGCTGTTTCGGAATGACAGCAGTGTGGATGCTCCACCACTCCTATTTTGAAATAGCTCCTCTATAGGGCCATTCAAAGTAATCACTCCCCAGTGCCTCCTGGGGCTCTAAATCAAGGTAACGTGTCCACAATAGGGAAGCCTCTGACTAATTTTGAGGCTTCCATATAGTGTAGATGCACTATTTTGAAATAAGCCATTTTGGAAAAAAAAATCCAAAATAGCTTATTTCAAAATAAGTGTGCTTTATAGACGTACCCATGGATACTTCACCTACATACTATTTGATTCTTAAGGTCTGGCTTTTGGTGCAGAATTGGTGGCTGTAGCCCCTGAAGTTCTCACAGTTACGGAAAGTGTCAGGTTTTAACCTGAATCTACCTCCCCTCCTGAAGAAGAACTCCACTCCTGGACATTCCCTGGTGCTGCCACTGACTTGCTACATAACCTTCGTCATATTACTTTGCCTCTCAGTGGCTCTGTTTGTCCCTTTGTCTGTCTTGCCTATTTAGATGTAAATTCTTCAGGTTGAGGTCTGTCTCTTACTATTTTTTTATACACTGTTCGTAGCACTCCCTCTCACGTGGTGTCTCTGGTCATTACTTTAATGCAAAGAATAATAATAATGCTTAACCGTGGTAATGCAGATTCTCAAGGCTCTGTACAAGGGGGGTGGTAAATTTTATTATTCCAATTTGGAGGGAGATGAGTCACAAAGAGGTTGCATGACTTGCCCATGGTAACCAGGGACCCAGAGACAGAGGAAGGAATAGCATTAAATGATAACCCACACAACTTGCATACTACTTTGAGGAAAGCTCATCTCAGACATTTAATGCAATAACTCTAATAATAAATGATATTTATATGTCACTTTCCATCAAAAACATAGTATGTTCAAATATAGGTAGAGTAGATACACATTTTGGGTCTGAGTGTCAGAAGTACAGAGCATTTGCAGCATCAACTGAAAATCAGGGCCATAATACATAGATAGGCACCTCTGTAAAGACACACATAGGAAACATTGAGTACAGTTTGGATTGGAGAATAGCAGCCAGACACAGAGCAAACTTCTACTTATGTGAAACATGCCAGGGGATCTTTATTGTCCACGCAGGGGAGATACGACTTCACTTTCTAAAATTCTCATCCTCTCATAGTAAATTGCCTGGTACTCAGTTATTTACCCTGGAAGGATGAAGCGCTGTGTTGACCCTGTTGAACTTGGATACAGTGATTGCTGGGAGTTTACAGACTTCAAATCTAGGAATTTGTCAGGCTTTGGTGTTGTTGGCAGAGTGCCTATTCCTATATCCCATTAACACTGATTTTGGTGAGGGGGGATATTTGGAGCAGCTTAGCTATTCGCACACAAGTCTCAATTATCCTGAACTGTATATTCATCAAATATCACAAAGAACACAAGCACATATTAATTAAGAATTAACATAATTCCATTCCTAGAGTATGGAGTTTATTAAAATGCAAACTCTATGAAGATGTATCAGGAAAAGCGTGCCTAACTATTTTTTAAAAGCTGAAACTTTAATCCGTTGTGTTGCTCATCTCTGGGCTTTGTCCTTCTATACAGCCATGGCATTTGACAACTTCTGTTGAATTGCCAATATTCCCTTGGAACGTCTGCCCTTATACAAGCCTATCTCTGTTGCATGGACAGCAATAGAGGTGTGTTCTGCCCAGCAGACTAGGTATATTAGACTACACTCAAATGGATAATATAGAACAAAAAGGGGAGTTTATTAACACTTTACAAGTTCCCTCTGTTTACAAGTTCATTCTGTTTTGCTTTGTTGGCCTCTTGTCATGCTGACTCATGGAAATATTTGTGTTTTCCAGAATGCCAAAGCCAGCTACGACTTCAGCAGTAACGATCCCTACCCATATCCCCGCTACACAGATGACTGGTTTAACAGGTAATAGAGCTCAGCCAGCTGTCACTTCAGGTATTAGGAAATCATAAGGCTCTGCTGATAGTTTCAGTGTCTGTCTCTCCACTAAATGATACGGTTTTCAGCACAGAAGCTGCTGTGTCGCTTTTGTCTGCAAATTAGATATGACTGTTTTTACATTGATTTTATTTTTATCTGGTGTGTTCTTCTGGGAATATCTTTTATCACTTGGCTCAGCTGAATTATGATATATAAAGGGTTTGCTACTCCTGAAGAATGACAGCATACATGATATGTGTGTGTAGGTGATAACTGTATATAATTTTCTGTCTGCTAAATGACAAAGTCATGATACCCAGGTCGGAGTTTATGCTTCATATCAATTTTTATTGTTCTCTTCCTCCACCATCATACCTCGCCCACATTTACACGGTTTTCATGTCATTTTAAAAGGAGCAGTATGGAGGCTGTGAATCAGTGAGGAAAGGAATTGGTGAAAAATTTGAAAATACATTTAAAGTTTCCATAAAGACTTGGAGTCACGTTTTGCCACAGTGTCCTAAGCCACACTTCCTAATCCTGGGCTACTGCAGCATCAAACATTTCAACTAGCACACTCCATCATATGTGTGTGTGTGCGTGTGTTGCAGTTATGTAAAAATATCACTCTAGTGATAAGCTCTTCTTATATTACTTCTACATATGACACAAGTAGATGTTCATAATATTCCTGTCTCAGCATGGATTTTTAGACAGTTTTTGAGCATCACAGCTTCCCTGAACCCTACAGGTTAATAATGAATAATAACGAAATAATGAATAAAGATAATGAAAGCCCAGTCACACTGTAGCTTTTTCACAGTTCCTTTAACAAGGACACTCAAGGAAAACCTTCTGAGCTGCTGAAAGAAATTTATCCAGCAGGTGTGCAAGAAACATATTCCTGTCTTGTCCCTGCCTGAAGAGCTTTTGGAAAGGAGGTGTGAAACAGGCAAAAGATTTTCACAGTGGAGGGATATTTGGAAACCAGTCATTTTCCTGTGATAGATTTGTCTTTAAAAACATAAGCTAGGAAATATTGCAGCAAAAAGAATACATGGTCCCACACCTCTGTTGTATCAGCCTTTTCAACTTTAAAGGAGAGGGAAAGGAGATAGAGGCTGCATTTAAAAAAGAAATAAAATAATCCAATTGCCTCAAAGTATAGAGCCATATGAGCGTATGTGGCCTTTATAGTATTATGAGCCACCAGGATATTACAGAGTTAACTGGAATATATAAACATAGAGGGTAATACAATTTAGATGTAGAAAATATCCCATCCGCTAAAATATGATAAACTTTTATGCAGCATATATGGTTATTGTATTGGAGAGTGGAAAACCAGAATCCCCACTTCTCAGGTTTCTCGTAGCATGTATTTTCAGCATTAATTTGTTAATGATTGTAAAACACTCTGAAGATGAAAATATGATTGAAGCATAATGGGGTGGTTTTGAACCTGGGACCTTCAATGCCAAAGCACAGACCTGTCCCATTGGAGCATAAAGAAATCACTTTATTACCTAACAGCAGTTGTGGGTTGCTATTTGTTCGAAACAGCACCATGACGCAATTATGCAAATGAAGCACGGGATATTTAAATCCCCGCTTCATTTGCATTTTCAGAATGTCTAATTTACACCCCTCTGCCGACAGAGGGCTGTAGTTTAGATACAGCCTAAAAGAGGAGGAGACACACCTGCATAACTGATAAGTGCTTTTGTAGCTGGTGTACTGTGACTGCTGCTTTACATGTGGATCCAAGTTTTCACATTGTTTCCCTGTGCTCCCTTGTGTTGCATCCACCTTCTGCCTCTTTCAATTGTGAGCTCTTCAGGGCAGGGGCAGTCAGTTTGCTGTGTGTTTGCAGAGCACCAGGGACAATGGGGCCCTGGCCAATAAAAGGCCTTTAGATGCTACCATCACACACAAAATAAATAATAAATAAAGTACTATTCCTATATATTGCTGAGGTGCTATGTAGCAGTATTATTACTAGACTACACTCCAATGCTATTTCTACTGTTCATCAAGACAGAGCCTGCTTGAAAGACTGGATTCTAAAAGAGCTGAATAACTTTACAGCTAAATGGAGCTCAATTATACATGCTACTCTGAGACTGTTCAGATGTTAGAGGGAAAATCTGGTTTCTCCACACAGAGTACTGTGCACTTTGCTAGGTGCAGCAATGGAGTTTTGCTTGCTTCTGGAGCATTGGTGTTAACTGGGGCAGGAGGCAAGATACCAGCCTTGATTAACCAATAATCTGATCCAGCATGTTCCTATGCATGTGCAATACTGTATGGGCCGAGTGGGCAATCATGCTAATCAGGATCAGTGGTTTACATGGCCTCTCTCTTCATCCTTGCAGTCATGGAACCAGGTGTGCAGGGGAAGTGTCAGCTGCAGCAAACAATAACATCTGTGGAGTTGGCGTGGCATACAACTCGAAGGTGGCAGGTATGTTACCAATACAGTGAGAAAGCCCAGTTGAGTTCTTCTCACTCAGATTTTCCTTGGGTACGGCTCCCTCTGGATCACGGGAGCTGTGCCCAAATGATTTGGTCCAGACTTTGTACCTCTGTGTCAGAAGTTTTATGTGCCAAACATTTAACAAGAGGAGTATCCCCTACTTTTTCCCCACTCTCCGATACTGTTTATATATAGATAGGGTTGCCAGGTGTCCGGTATTCTACCGGAAAGTCCAGTTTTTGGGGCCTCTGTCTGGTAAAAATAAATCCAGAAAATACCGGACAGGTGCATCCGGTATTTCCTGGATTTCTGGCTGGGCACCGGACGGAAGCCTGGCAGGGGTGGGGGAAGTGGCTGGGAGGCAGGCAGGATCGGTGCTGGAAGCCCTGGCTGCGTCTGATGCCTTGGGGAGGAGAAGAAGCCCTGTCCCTGCTCCTGAGTGCGTGGTGGAGCCACAGCCAGACTCACTCGCGCTTCTGCGGACTGTGCCCAGGACTGACAGCACCCCGGGATCTGCATGTGCCCGGGTCAGTCCTGCCCCCCCTCCCACTTTCCCCAACCCTACCCGACCAGCTGTGCTGCCCCCGACCCCCTCCTGACCACCTCTGATTCCTGCCGGCCGGTTCTCCTCCTGATCTCCCCGGGCCAGCCACGCTGCCCCCGACCACCTCCCCTGCATCTCCTCTGGCCACCCACACTGCCCCGAC